GGCGGCGGCGGCCGGGAGGAGGAGGAGGAGGCGGAGGACGCGGCGGCGGCGGCGGGGACGCGGTGACTTAGGGCCGCTCCGTGTGAGTCCCGGTTCCGGCGCCCGGTCCCTGACCCGGCGCCCCCACTGCCCTGGCTCTCTGGCGGAGGGGGGCGCCAGCTGTGCGCTCGCGGGCCGGCGGGGCAGTGCGGGCAGAGGGCGGGCCGGGCCGGGGCGCCCTCACGGATGGAGTTAGTTTGTGTGGTTGGAGCTGTTGGGGCGGCGGGGGGCGGTGCAGCTGCGGGAGGCTGGGCACGGGGCCGGGGCCGCTGCAGCTGCGGGGCCGGGCGGGGTGCGGGCTGCCGGTTCCGCGCTGCGTTACCCCCGGCCGGTGCAGCTGCGGCGCGGGGCGGGCTCCCGGCCGGTGCAGCTGCGGTGGCGCCTCTCGTGTGCGGAGGGCGGCGGGCTGGGGGGAGGGGGCTTGGGAGTCGCCGCAGCTGCAGTGGCGCCCGGGACGGACGCGGCTCCGGGGACCGGTGCAGCTGCAGTGGCGCCCGGGGGGAGGGGGCTGGGAGGAGGGCCGCCCCCCGCGGGGGCTGGTGCAGTTGCCGGGAGGCCCCGGGGGCTCTTGTGCAGTGGCGTCGGGGAAGCGGTAGCAACCACCCTCCTCCCCCTGGCTGCTTCTTGCGACTTTTCTTTTGTTGTTGCCGTGACCTGGGTCTGTTTTTTGGTTTGTTGTTTAAGGTGTTTTACTGCTGCACCGGCTCTACGCCCTCCTCCTTCTCTGTGGTTTAACCTTCCTCTTTCCCCAGTGTGTTTTTTGCACCGGGAACTACATAGAGATTTGCATCCCCCCCTCACCCCGGCCTCGTTGAGAAACAAAAACCCAACCTCACAAAACCTCTATGGACCGCGGTAGCGAGACGTAAAGGAGTTGATTTGTGGAGTGGGAGTCGCTGGCCCATTGCGGTGCTTGGGACTCATTAAAGTGTCACTCACCCCCCACTCCAGTGGGTAAATGGGGTGATTAATGTCTGATATATTGGAATGGGGCAAGGGCATTTGTGGAGAATAGGCTGTGTGGCTGAGAAGGAATTTATCTCCAAAGAGTGCCTCCTGAAATAGGCATTCAGAATTATGTCATTCACCGCGAAGTTAGAGAAAGTTAGGTTTGTGACTTTGGGGGAACGAAAAGGACAGACAGAGTCGTTAGTTTTATTTACTCTGTAACTCTGCAACAGTTTTCTTATGAGAACGAAGTGATCATCACGAAGACTGGGACACTTGCCTCTCAGACCCCAGCTCCTTCTTTTATTCTCACCTTTCCAAGAGTGTGGAGGTGTATTTGACATTCACAGATGTCGTAGCCCTTGCAGGGCACCGGTCGTTTCTGCTGGGGTTGCGGTACAATTTCGTCAGCGATTCGAAAAGGCCCACAAAGTCTAGCGAAAGTTTCCCAAACTTCCTAGACCTGGCTCCCCCATCCCCCGCCCTTTTCCCTCTGAAAGGTGTTTTTTTTTTTTTTTTTTTTTTTTTTTGTGTGTGTGTGTGTGTGATCATAAACATTGTAGGGTGGGAGAAAAAAAAGATTGTTATGGGACACAGATCAAGCGGAAGACAAGGTTCTGCTTTTTCTGAACAGATAGATACACAGGTGCAGCATTCGTTTTAAGTGACCCTAGCAGGTCGTATCAGTTATTAGTCTCATTGAACTGAAGCACTTTCCAGGATTTCAGAAAGTACAGTTTCAGTTTGTTGATACTGAGAATTGAAATTTGCATTCACATTGGCAGTGTCAGAAATTTTACTGAGAAGGTAGTTGTGGATAGATAGTTTCAATAACAGTGAAATAACAAGGTGAACCAGGTTGAAGTAATAATTCTGAGTAAGTCTTAACGTTTCTGAAACATGTATCCCATTATCAGCAGGATAAAAAAAGTGCCATAATATTGATGAAATGGGGCTGGATATGTCAAGTGGGTTGGTTTAAAAATATTTCTAGGCTGTCTTTAGAACTAAAGATTGTTGTTTAGTAAAAGTGAATTTGGATTTCCTGAATAGCACGGTGGTTTGAGTGTACTTGTCAGTATATAAGGCAGTCCACCAACTTAAGACAGAAGTGTTGTTATTCCATAAATACAGTAGAACTCCATATGTGGAGTTTTTCAATTTCTTCTGTTAGAAAGTTGGGGAAAAAAAGGGAGACTTTGAAGTATTTTGTTTATACTAACAGAAGAGAAAAGTTCTCCTAAGAAAAAGCTGGTGGCAGGAGTGTAGAGGAGTAGCATATGGCATTAAAAGGAGCACAGCTGGAGGTAGCATTTCCATCTGAACATGATGTCAGAGCAGCTGACAGCCTGCCATCCCTCAGCCTTTTATTCTAACACACAGACAGGGAGTTAGTGTGTGCGGATCTGTGGTGGAGAAGGTATCTCATTCCTCTCTAACATCATCTCCACTTTGCATCTGTCTCTCTTAGTCTGCTTTTTTTCCACCGATGTAACAGACCTGGAGCCAGCAAGACTCAGAGGGAAGGACTTAATCAGGTTTATGTGTCCAAAAGGTAGGAGTAGCAGTAGATTAGATTGAGCCTATTTCTGTTTTGGTGTTTTGTTTATTTAATTAAAAAAGAAAAATCACATTCCTTTTCTAACCCAGTTTAGGAATAATATATGAAATTGAGTATTAAGTGAACATCTTATTGGAGTTGAAAGGCTTGGCTTGTTTAGTTAATTTTTATCCCTTTTACTTGAGCAAGTAACTTTAATACACAGAAATATTTCAAGTTTTGAAATGTTAAGAAAGACTTTGAAATACTGCTTTTTGAGATCACTTTGGCTTAAAATGCTCCTCCACCCCCACTGCTATTTAGATTCCTTTTGCTTTTGAGGGGAGAAATAGTAAACTGTCTGGAATCAAGCATTCAAACTTATATGAAAAGATTATTCTAGTTAAGAAGCTAGATTGTTGTGTAATTGATTCCACTGTGAAACTTTATTCTTCAAAACATTCAGCAGCACTACTGAAACATACAGCTGTAGTGCTTTTGAAACTGAAGGTTTTTTTTCTTTTTTTTTTAAGAAGGGGAGGGGAAAAAAAAAAAAAAAACTTTTGTCCCCAGGAGAATAGTTTGACTGGTTTCCTCATTTCTCTTTCAAATATATATTTAAGAGATCTTTTATTTCAACATAACAATAATTATTTGCAGGAGTTTTTGTGTTAGTGACTAATTTAGAACTTGTAGATTTGAGCTGCCTGAATTGGCCAGACAGCTGTAATCGCACTCCTCTATTCTTAATCTCTTTATCTGGGCAGCAGCTGCCATATGGCCACAGTCAGCTGGATCAGATGTTTATAAGCTTCCTTCTTCGTCTCTCTCTGTCCTCTCAGCCTCCTAATTTGATCACGGCTACCTTGTGAGCTGCCCTCCAATCTTTATTTTTAGCCCTCTCAAGGATTAGGATTGATGTTAACTGTGGGCCACTTAAAGTGATTGTATTGTAAATCTTGGTTGATTCTAGCAGTGGCATCTTGCAGAATGTATTTGGGGTTAGAATGAAAGTTTTGGTCTATCTTGAGTAAAGTATAGAAGAGGAAGGGAAGTAATTTCTAAATATTAAATTAATATGTATCCATTTCCCAAATGTACTTTCTGAGGTGAATGGTGTGGAACTTTGCTTCTGGTCACAGAAAAGGGAAGTCGAGTTTTCTTTATTTTTAAGGAGTTTACCCATTGCAGTTGAATTTTGACCCTTTGTACATCTTTGCCTTTCCTCTTCCTTGGACTCGCCCTCCCTCACTAGAAAACCAGGGCAACAATGCGTATTTGAATGAATAGAAGTTAGTGGGAAAACAAAATATATGGAGTTATTTTGAAACAGTATTTTCTGTTGTCTGAGGTAAAGCAGATTCAGAAAAAAAAGTTTCTCTTTTTCTAGAAAGGCTTTTTTTCAGGGGGGGCGTTGAACCTTGTAAAAGCTTTTGAGTTCCATTTGAAAGTGGTATGTCTGTATTTAAAACTTTGAATTAATTTTAATAAGGAATTCATCTTGCTTTGTAACGGATCAAAGTTTAGATGAGAAATTTTAGTTAAGTAAAGCCTCTCTGGTTCCTGAGATTCTAGAACTACAGATTCTGCAAAGCAATATAACTTTCTTTTATTTCTTCAGTTCGTTTTTAAAAAGCTTTGGATTTATACATAGTAAAGATGATCTTTTCCATCTGTTGGTGTAGTTCCTTCTGATCTCGTACATGTGTGCTATACCTGCAAATCTTAAGGCATTAACATCTGTTTTTATACACAGAGCTTTTGTTGTTGTAACACTCTGACTTTAAAAGTAAGTTGTTTGCTAATTTTTGGACTAATTATGCAATTTAATTTTTTTCTTGAGTCAGCCAAATGTGTATGTATGTTTAAATTGTGCTTTTTAAGTACAGTCAATATCAAAAGTAATACAATAAAAAGGATGGTGAACAAGCTTTCTTAATCTTTCAGAATGTGTTTAGGACTTTGTTCATTCTATGGGTTGATCCCTTTGAAACAGCAGCTATTTTGTCAGTTTTGTAGGATATAATTTGATGAGTAGAATTAATTAAATTTCTTCTGAAAGAGATGTAAGTCCTTATTCTCAGAAGCTGTAGTTAATTGAGGCTTTCAAAACTTGACTAAAAGTTCAAGGAAGGTAGTGCTACATCTGAGACAGTTTACCAGGGGGTAAAGAAGTTTGGAAAAAGTATAAATTTTCCTTCTCACGTTTAGGTTTTTTGTGTGTGATTTGGTCTTTGGGTCATAAGCCTGTTTAAAATTCAGGAACGTGTACCACAGCGGCCAAAGCTTAATTATTATTATTTTTTTTCATAGGGCTAGAGTGCTTAAGAGTTGTTCTTGACCAAGCACTAATGAGAAGTCTCTCTCTTTCTAGGTTATGAAGACAGTATGGAGTTTCCAGACCATAGTAGACATTTGCTGCAGTGTTTGAGCGAGCAGAGACATCAGGGCTTTCTTTGTGACTGCACTGTTCTGGTGGGGGATGCCCAGTTCCGAGCCCACCGAGCTGTACTGGCTTCATGCAGCATGTATTTCCACCTCTTTTACAAGGACCAGCTGGACAAAAGAGACATTGTTCATCTGAACAGCGACATTGTTACAGCCCCAGCTTTCGCTCTCCTGCTTGAATTCATGTATGAAGGGAAACTCCAGTTCAAAGACTTGCCCATTGAAGACGTGCTAGCAGCTGCCAGTTATCTCCACATGTATGACATTGTCAAAGTCTGCAAAAAGAAGCTGAAAGAGAAAGCCACCACAGAGGCAGACAGCACAAAAAAGGAAGAAGATGCCTCAAGTTGTTCAGACAAAGTCGAGAGTCTCTCCGATGGCAGCAGCCACATGGCAGGTGATTTGCCCAGTGATGAAGATGAAGGAGAAGATGAAAAATTGAACATCCTGCCCAGCAAAAGGGACTTGGCGACTGAGCCTGGGAACATGTGGATGCGATTGCCCTCAGACTCAGCGGGCATCCCCCAGGCTGGCGGAGAGGCTGAGCCACACGCCACAGCAGCTGGAAAAACAGTAGCCAGCCCCTGCAGCTCAACAGAGTCTTTGTCCCAGAGGTCTGTCACCTCCGTGAGGGATTCAGCAGATGTTGACTGTGTGCTGGACCTGTCTGTCAAGTCCAGCCTTTCAGGAGTTGAAAATCTGAACAGCTCTTATTTCTCTTCACAGGACGTGCTGAGAAGCAACCTGGTGCAGGTGAAGGTGGAGAAAGAGGCTTCCTGTGATGAGAGTGATGTTGGCACTAATGACTATGACATGGAACATAGCACTGTGAAAGAAAGTGTGAGCACTAATAACAGGGTACAGTATGAGCCGGCCCATCTGGCTCCGATGAGGGAGGACTCGGTCTTGAGGGAGCTAGATCGGGAGGACAAAGCAAGCGATGATGAAATGATGACCCCAGAGAACGAGCGAGTCCAGGTGGAAGGAAACATGGACAGCAGTTTGCTTCCTTACGTCTCAAACATACTGAGCCCTGCTGGCCAGATCTTCATGTGCCCTCTTTGCAACAAAGTCTTCCCCAGCCCCCACATCCTGCAGATCCACCTCAGTACGCACTTCCGCGAGCAGGATGGCATCCGCAGCAAGCCTGCGGCCGATGTCAACGTACCAACATGCTCCCTGTGTGGTAAGACTTTCTCTTGCATGTATACCCTGAAGCGCCACGAGAGGACTCACTCGGGGGAGAAGCCCTACACTTGCACCCAGTGTGGCAAGAGCTTCCAGTACTCCCACAACCTGAGCCGCCACGCCGTGGTGCACACTCGCGAGAAGCCTCACGCCTGCAAGTGGTGTGAGCGCAGGTTCACACAGTCCGGAGACCTGTACAGACACATTCGGAAGTTCCACTGTGAGTTGGTGAACTCCTTGTCTGTTAAAAGTGAAGCACTGAGCTTACCTACTGTCAGAGACTGGACCTTAGAAGATAGCTCTCAAGAACTTTGGAAATAATTTTATATTATTAATAATATAAATAATATATATACATATATATAAATAGATCTATATATAGTTGTGGTACGGTCTAAAAGCAGTCTTGTTTCCTTGAACTAAAAAGATGGGATATTAACTTGTTTTTGCACTTTAGAATAGCATGAGAATCTTACTAATTTAGCATTCTGATAAAGAAACTTTAGCGCAAGTCAGAAAATAGAGGTGTTTTCTTTTGTGGGGGTAAGGGAAGTAAGCCAATAAGAACCTTTTAAACAAATCATCATATCACAACATACTTTAGATGGCTTAATTTTGTTGACACTGCATTGTCTTTGGAGCTCTTTTTTTTTCCCTCCCACAATTTTTTTTTTTTTTTTTTTTTTAAAGTAGAAATTCCCTCAAGTTTTATCAGCCTCTTTGTAAGTCTCAAATTGCATGAATCTTTTCTGGCTGTTGGAAACCTGAATGCTTTTAGACCCAAATGGAAAATTTCTGAAATGCTGGATTATCTATTTTTAAACAAGCAGTTGACTTAAAACTTTCTGTGGCAACTTCTGTTTTTCTGACAGTTCCCAATGAGAAAAATTCTGCAAGTACACTGGGATCACTGGGACACTGTCTTTGTGAAGGTTTGCTTGGGATGAAAAAGGATATTGCAGCTTCAGCAGTGTTGAACTGTGTGTTTAAAAATGTGAATTACTGTTATTGTATACTGTAATTGATTACATGGGCTGGGGGGGTGTCAAAGAACTTGACAGGTTGTGTTGATGCTCTTAGTTGAGTCTTGAAAAGTAAATATTAACGCTACAGAAATGCATGAGTTTCAATATATTTTTGTCTTTGTTTGCATTGTATAACTTTAACGAGTGAGTTTAAAATTATTTAATTTCCTTAGAGAAATAGCACCATTTGGAAACTGGTGTTATAAAGAACATAAATGCACTGTTTTTATTTTATTTTATATAATTTAAATTGACTTTCCCACTGTCTTTTAAGTTGAAACTGTTAAGCTGAATAAAAACTTAAGCTGCAAATTGATAACTTCGCTACATAACAAGGAAAATATAAATGTTTACAAACGGCTTAAAGATTTGCATGTGCAGTGTGCATTTATAACGAACTCTTAATTGCACAAAACCCATGCCAGCTCAAAGTTTAGGTGTACACATTTACCCAGTTGAGCATTTTTAGAATAACTACTGCACAAATTGACAATAGGTCATTCTTTTTCTTGTTGTTGCTCCCCTTTTCTTTTTCTCCCCTTCTTCCTTCCCCTCCCTCATCTCCCTCCACCCCCCACCCCCCACTCTTGAAAAGATTCTATGGACTGAAAAAGCCCCGGGCTGAAAGGACTGGACTGCCTTGATTGACATGGGGAAGGGGGTTAGTAGACTATGTGTATCGCAGCAGCAGAAGCTGCAGCCCAATGTGTGGTTTAATGACCAGCACACAGGGCAAAAGCATTTTGCACAGTGTTTGTTTTCCTGTCTTGCACTTACAAATAAGGTCTATGGGAGTAGCATGGAAAACGTTTGCTGTTTTTCCCTTTTTTTTTTTTAAATTGCTTTTGTTTAAAATTTGATCGCCTTAACTACTGTAAACATAGCCTATTTTTGTGCTTAAGATACTGAATGGAAAACTCCATTGTGTGTTGCTGGACTGTTTTGGAAATATTTGGTCAAATGTGTGTTAATTTGGCTGTAATGGCATTTAAAGCAAACAAACAAACAAAAAAAGCTGTGAAAATGGCCTTGGATCATTATCTTTAGTTACTTGAAGAGTTTCTAGTTTTTTTAAAAATACAGTTTATGTTAAGATAATTTTTATTAATTTAGAGAAGACAATCAATGTCTGTGAGAAAACGGACTTTCTTTTGGATTTTCTTTTTGTGGTCATTGTGAGTGATTGCTTTTTCCTCTTATTAGTTTCACATTCTTCCTTTGTTCTAAAAACTTAGACTGACATCTAGCTTTGACAATCATAGTATGTTTTATTTTCCTGAGGGGGGAATAACTTATAATGCTGTTTAGTTTTGTACTATTGGTGTGTTGGTGAATTTTTAAACTGTGTGCTAACTGCAATAAATTATATGAACTGAGAATCTTGTGTGTGTTATTTGAATTGTGATCATATATTACATAGATTCTAAGCATGTATCACACATAGCTTCTTTATCTTAGTATCAGTTCCATTCAGACTTTATACTATTATTAAAACCCCTTAGATCACTCAAAATGGAAATGTGTAAACATTTTTGCATCAAGGCATTTAAGACTATATTAAATAAACATTTAAAAAATGTGACCCTTTTCTAAAATCTGGATCAAGAACGTTAATTCCCTAGAAACTTTGGAATCCACGAAACTTCAAGTGGTAGCATAGGTTTTCATACTATGCTGTACAACTACTAACCCATACACCTTTAGTCACTTTTTATGTGTAATTTTATCCGAAGTTGATTGGTCAAATCTATTCTGTGTTCTAGTTTAAGTGGAAAAATGAAGGAGACTGGATGTCTTAATTTGGAAGACTGCTTGGCTAATGACTGGAATTCTAGGCAATCAAATTAGCAGGCGTTCAGATTATTCAAGATTAGTTTTATGCATCCTCTTTGCTTCTGGGAGAATGGACAGGGTTCCAGGTTTCAATCCTCAAGTTTTAATTTAAAAATACTAAACACAGACAGCTGTTGAAGTACATTCCCTGATTTTTGTGATGGTCCCAACATCATCTTCCCCTTGAGCTTGCCAGGGTAAGGAATCCTGCTTATGACCTAGGAATTTGACCAGAACACCCATAGTTGCTGGAGGGTTCTATAGAAGAAATGCCACATACTGTCCCAAGTGTGGGCAGGGACATGGTAGGCCTGGGAGACTCATGTATCCTAACTGTCCTTAATTTCGAACCTCAAAGATAAAGCGAAAATACAGTTTTACATTATTCCTATCAAAAATAAAATCTACACTTAGAGTAAATGTCCTTTAGGAAGGTTAATAATATTCTACAGAAGAAATAGAATATAAAATCCAGACTTGAAAGTGTACCATTCATACTCTATCTAATGGCTTTGGATGGGAATCCAAAAAAGATTTTATCATAAAGCACAATCAGTAATTTACAATATGAAACCCTACATTTCTTTTTTGTTGTTGAAACAATTTCTATTTACATGCAACTCATTGATTTTAACCACCTGAACATTGTTTCACGCGAAAACAGGATGTACTTTTGACCTCCACGAAACAATTTCTGGAGCAATTGCAAGTTTATAAAAATTTTCTTTTTTAAAAAGGTGGGTAGGAGGCCTTTGTATCTTGTATTTTCAGTTCCTGTAGTACTGGTTGGAGTATCTCAAAGCTTCCTGACTATGTTGACAGTTTAGTTTACTGCTTAGCATCTCTGATTTTAAATGTGAAGTATTAATAAACTTAGTTGGATATACTTACAAAAAATATTTTGATGTGTAATTTGGAAGAAATTATTTCTTAAAACATTCTTTGCAAAACTCAGGATATTAATTACACAAATCGCCACATTTGATAAGTGGAATGAGAGAATTAGTTTTTTAATCACTACATTGAAATTATCTAATTAATTTGTCATCTAGTCATGATGGAAACTATTCAAATTCATCACCCCTTTGACATCTGGCTGATACATAAGTATATTTTAAATATGTGGTTTCGTTTACTTTTGAAAACATCTGTTTCTTTTAGATAATCAATTATGCCCTAAATCAATGTAGGCCCAGCCTCATGTGCTAGGTGTACCCTAGGGAATATCCAAGAAGTATAAAATGTTAAAGAAACTGGTTTTGGATTTCCTTTCTAGTTAATTATGCTATCAGATTAATAGGTGGATTGAGTAGAGTTTTTCTTCAACACACTTGTCAAGAACAACTACAAACAGATTATTAAAAGGTTAGGAAAAAGTGCACACATATTAAAAATACATACTAATTCACATTAAAATGATTGAAATGTTCATTTTCCAAGTACATCTTTTGTTTTGAACCACTAGCAAAGAAATCATTTTTTTAACCCAAGAAGTAACAGTACTTACAAAATCATGATCTTCTAAGTTTTATTGATAAACACACAAGCTATTAAAAGATCTTGACTTAAAAAAAACCCATCATATTAGATAAACTTTTTAACATCTTTAAGATCTCAAAATTTCATGTATTGCATGAATACATTTTATCCCTATAAAGCGTAAAACGTTCTTTCCCAATGTAAGAATTGTTGGAGATTTTTTACAAACCTTAAGATGACAGAAAACTCAGATAATTTTAGATTTTAATGTGCAGATACTGATCTAAATTTTTGTTTGAATTGGTTGCAGTGTTTGACATTATTGATCAGATACAGTGAATTGAGTAAGTGTGAATTTTGGAATCCAGGACAGAAAAGCTCAGTCCTATTCATTTCAGTCATTTGCCATTAAAATGCTAAAAATAATACTATCTTTAAAAATAGAGCAATTTTTTTTTAAGCAAATAGCTTTTAGGAGTTTTATTTTGGCTGTGGTCCAGGTTTATTACATTGACAGGATTTTGTTCCTCATTTTAAAAGTATTCTACCTTTGCCTGCACAAACACAGCAAAATACCTTTATATGTAATCCTTTGGTCCAAAATGTGGAACCACTCATCTTTTGACTTCAAGTCAAATTAGTTACATAAAAAAAAATGTCTTATGTTTATAATCCCCCCACCTCACTTCCCACTTATGTTTTCTTTATATCCTAAAAGGATAGTTAAAACAGTCTGCTCTTACGGACAGCACTGGAAGAATTTAGAAATACTACTTCATTTTCAGAGGCATTTGGAAATGAAACTTTTAGTGATTTTGCAAACCAACTCCTTTAAAAAATCTGAACTTTTTAAATTTCTTAGGAAAGAATCTTAATGTGAAGATGCAGTTGAACTCCAAATTTAAAACATTGTAACAAGGAAAGGTGAGGTCATAGAAATGTATTTGCTAATTGGGTGTAGGTTCTGATTAAACAGTGGTTTGAAAAGATTTTTTTAAAGCCAAATGCTTTAAGATGCATCTGCTTACACTAACATTGTTGAATTAGTTATCTAGATAACTCATACTCATCAAATAGCTTTTTCCCAAAATATTTCAGCACTTGAAACAAAATTTCTGAATTTTCTTAATTCTATTTTAACATTGACTAATTTACTGTTGATCTTAATTCCTAGGCTTATGTAAGCGTGATACTTCCTTTGGCTGAAGCGTAGTAGTTTACCAAAGAATACCTTCAAAGTGAAATTTTTTATCTTGAAATTTTGAGTACTTATCCCCAAATAAGGTGTCTCCTTTTCTAATCATCTGAAGGAATGGCTTTGCAGTTGAGCTTGCATTTTACTATGGGAGGCATTCTCTTTAGTTAGTTTGGCAGAAGAGGTGTGAAAGCCCAATTTGGCTTTAAAATGTAGCACATTAGTCAGTAACAGTTTCAGTGAGGATATTTAGAATGGCTTTGAGAGGCCATGTGGCCCCCTTAGAGAGTCCATTGACGGAAATTACTTATTTGCTGTTTGTTATAAACTCTGTAGTTAATCATTAAATCAAGTAGTTTTTATTAAATATCAATATGCATGCCTAGTATGACTATAGGAATTTTGAAAAGTCCAAATGGCCCAAATATTCACATTTGTAAGAAGTTTATTTGTAGTCAGTAGGAAATGGCACATGAAAAATGTATTTAAATATTGATAAACATTTCTAGAATAGAGTAAATCTGTTGTTTTAATACATAATGCAGATACAATGATACTGAACTTAAATGAATAGCATGACCATATTTATGTATGGTATGCCAAGCCAGAGCTAACTTTTGATATGTGACAGAGCTTTAAAGTCTGTATCTTAACTATGTATGATTGAAAAATATTTATTATTTAAAATTATTTATAAGTAAGGACATAGTTACTTCACTTAGAAAAATCATACTGAATGTTATATATTTTACCTTTGACAGGATTTTAAGGTCCCTAACATTTTTGTATGTCCAATGCTAAGAACATTTAGGGTTTTTTATCTGAATCTCTTAAATTTACTTTTGAAATAGACTCTTTATATATATACATTTATCTATCTGTGTGTCTGTGTCTGTGTATATATATACACACACCTTTTCTATGGAACATTTCTTTGGAAGTGTATCTTATGAATTAGCTGTTTGGTAATGTTTCAGTATCTATTATATGCATATCAGACAAATAGTAATGCTTCCTAACAATTTCTATTTGGACAATCTTTGGAAAGGTGGAATGATACGATAAAAGATCATCACAACATTTAAGAAAAGTATTTATTGCCCGTGCACTGTAGCTACCATAGAAATTAATGCCACTTACTCGTATTTAGTGTAAAAAAAATCCATTTCTTCTAATTTCTGTTTCTCTGTCACTTAAAATGCTCATCAAGTAGAGGAAATTGAAGCATAGAGCCATATCCACACAAAATCTAATTTATAGTTGTCTCTGTGCCTAAGTGACTTTGTGAAAGAGGGTCTTTCAAGCATATGAGAGGAGGGAGAAACGGTACAGGTTTATATTTGAAGCATAGGCATTGTACATGAGCCCTTAGTATACAATTTGTTTAAAATTGCTTCTAAAGCCCCCAGATTTTGCAACTGAATAAATAAACCAAAGGAAACTTAAGTCTTGCAGATGGAATATTCCTTTAGGTTCTTATTTTTGTTGAGACTCAAACTAAAATTCAGATTTTATAGTCTGTTATCTATTTTTCTTACTACCCTTTTATTTACTATAGGAGAATACATTTTATGCATTGAGTGATTTTGGCACCATTGCACAACTAAAATTTCCACTCAGGTTGCTTTAGTGTCTGAATTTCTACCGTTTGAAAAAGTTGAAACAGATTTGAAATGAAACTACCTTTGAGATTGGCCCTACTTACCACTCTGCACCAACACCTGTGGGTCTCCACTAAGTGAGGCCTGAGGAGGCAGAGAAAGGTGCTGAGGGGTTATTACAATAAACAGCATGAGCTGGATGACACCCTTAGGCTACAGGAAAAAAAGTTAGGGGCTATTTGGGGCACAATGAAGTTTTGCTTTTCGTAGT